GTGTGTGTGATTTTGTTCAGATCTTTCAATTTGCAGGAATTCTTCCCACTTCATCACTCCACCAATCAATAAACCCTTTGTCATACTGAGGTGTGGCATGTCTTCTGCTGAAACCCTCAGATTCAGATACAACACACACTGAGGCATGTGAGCAGGCACGCACACACACTTTGTCACCTTCACGAAACAAGTTCCATTCAAATTGGTTTAAAAATAGCACTCATCCACTGGGCTCCTTTTTCAGGGATATTATTTTAAGAAGAAGAAAAATAAAAGATCTCTTGGTCTCTGAGAGGGAGAAAGGGTAAACCATCACCTAGTCTTAAAAAGTTCTGGTAATGTCGCTAGAGACTAAGCATTTGCACTCTGTTGAATTTTCTCCTCCCTTACCATTCAACAAAAGTTGTTTATTCGCTAATACCCTGCCATCAAGATATTTATAGAGGTGGGTTTCCTTTTTGCGTGGTGAGGAGAGGGAAAAGCTGCAGCAGGGAGCCCTGTCCCTGGCCTCTCGGGTTCCCCCCCTTCCCCCCAGCAGTGACTCCTTGGCGGCCGGTGGATTTGTGAATCAGCTTCCCCCTCCCCCCATTCAGGGGAGCCCCTAAACGCTGCTGGCCATCTACAAAGGACCGTGTGTGTGTGTGTGTGTGTGTGTGTGTGTGTGTGTGTGTGTGTATTAAACTGCAGGCTTATTTGTTCCTGCTCTGGGAGTCTGTCTGTCTGTCTCTAACTCGGATTATTGCTCTCTGGGAAGCTGTAGCTGGCTGATTCCGTGGGAGACCAAGCAGGATGCGTGGGCAGAGAAAACAGAAGAGGGAAAAGAAGGGAGGGAGAAGAAGGGAGCAGGGGAGACAACGGGAGCCGTAAAATCTGTTATTTGCGTCACTCGAGGAGCTGGGGCTATCTGCCCGACAAACACCCAGAATTAATCCGAGTCATAGCCATAACTGTCTTTGCTACAGTGGCCAGTTGCGAAAGGGCGGGGAAAGGACGCTCGCGGGAGTCTGTACTGAGCCGACTTTGTGCTGGGCGGCAGAGGGTTTTTGGGGAGGGGGCTGTCCTGCTGGGCACGCCCTCGGGGCCCCGCACGCTTAGTGCAGACGCGGCTGCAGCCTCCTCTGCAGCTGCCCAGCCCAAGCCTGGGGTGGCGCCTGCCTCAGCTGCCTTGCCTGCTCAGTGGCTGCGCCGAACACAAAGCGCTGTCTCTGAGCAGAAGCCTCTTCTCAGCTGAACCAGACCCACCAAAGAGGAGAATCTGCACGTGACGTCAGTAGCTCATGACTGACGCAGGCTGGCAAAGGAGACTCAAGGCGGCTGCTCCGCGCTGCCTTCATGAGTCTATTTTCTCCAGCCCTCTCGTAGTGAATTTACTAGAACGCAAAACACAGACACACACACACACACACACACACACACATATGCAGCTTTCAAAATATACATTTTCAAAGGCGGTGTGTTGCAAACACAGCGCGATTTTGCAAAGCATGGGTGGGAAACGTGGGAAGGGTATGGAAGCTTTTTTTTTTTCTTCCCTCATTTGGGAATCTCCATTGTGGATAGCGTTAGACTCTAGAGCTTTCTTGGGAAGCTCCTCTGGGGAAGGGGCCTAAGGACCCCCGTTCGCCCCCCAGCATGCAGGGAATCTGGTCAATGGAGACAAGCAGCTCTAAAAGAATACAACCACTCCAAAGCCTTCTGCTGGGGAGACTGCGAGGAGCTTGCAACAGGCAGAGGCAGATGGGAGTTAATGGGAGGGTGGGAAAATATAATATTTGGGTATTTTTCTGCTTTAAAAAACGTCACCTGCAGTAATGCAAGGGAGTCTGGTGGTGCAGAAAAAAGTGGGGAGGGGGCGCTTAATGCACATTTAATGTTTTGGATGTAACGTTCCAGCGAAATGCCTTTGTGTGTGGAGGTTTTTTCAGTACTTGCTAAAAATAGCATCAGGGTTTGATCGTGTTCCAGAAATAGACCGAGGGCTGTACTGGATAAAAAGCCAGCGCGGGTGGAAGAAAACCTGGACATCACCGCATTGTCCCCCCCCCCAACTATGTCTGGAAATTAATTGTTGGATTTTTCCTCTCCTCTCTTCTCTCTCCCTCTCTCTCTCTCCACTTTCTCTTCCCTCCTCCTATGTTTCTCTTTCTCTCTCTTAAGGAGTTCCCGTTTGGGTAAGTAATATTATGTCATGTGCATGCCGCAGACTGTGAGTATGAGCTGAGGCTTACTTTGTGCATGCTCTGGGGTTCTTTTTTTGGCTGTCTTTCTACCCCTTTTTGAAGAAGAGGGTGGGACTGAGTGGAAGGTGAGGGGTATAGCTGTGTGTGTGCATAATGAATTTGGGGCTGCATGCAAAGGAACTGAAAGGGGGAATTCTTGCAGAGCTGGGAATCACCCTGACGAATCTCTGAATCAATAGCTGCTGCAACTCTCTCTCTCTTTATGGGTCGGCGCTGTTGAGCCGGGTTCTCTCGACTGCCCCCCTCCCCTCCCCGTTTTCTCTGTCTTAAAGGGTGCCCAGATACCACTTAATGGGCCCTCTCTCTGTGAGATTAATGGAGGCGATGTGATATAGATTAAAATTGCATGGATGGGGCTGGGCGGTAAAGAGGAGGAAAAATCTCCATTCCTTTGACAAACTTCGCTACTCGCTGGGTTCCTGGAGCCGGAGGACTGAGACCCTGGCCCCCGGCGGGCTCAGGGCGCGGTAGCTGTCCATAGAAGGCAGGTGCTGAAAATTCCTTGGTCCTCCGCGAGTTCATCTCCGAGCGCCAGGGGGCGGGGTTGGCGCCAGCTGCGGATAGCCCCGCCCTGGATGCAGAAGAGGGATACGGAAAGGAGGGGGTTAAGGATGTTCAAAGGGGAGAGTCGTGACTTCGGTGAGAGCTTTGGGGAAAAGGAGGGGTGAGTGGGAAGGAAAGGGAAAAAAATTTAAAGGAGGGGGGAGCAAAGTGTTAGATTCGAGGATGAGCCAAGGCCCAGCGCTCCAGGAACCGAAAGCCGGTGGCTTACCGACTTTCTCCGCAAAGGCCAGTCTCTATCTGGGTCTCCATTCCCGGGCTCCTGCACCTTCCCGCCAGTGGGTTTGAAAGATTTCTCTCCGGTGATGGTGACTCTCAAAATAAGAGGCTATAGGTTGCTTTATTCGGACCCTCGTCGCTTCCCACTTCATGCCCCCAATGCTCCCACATTCTGCAATTCCCGTAAGGTGTGTAAGGATGTGTCTGTGCATTATGGCATTTTTCTTACTATTCCCCCTTCCTTCGCGTCCTAGTCATAGGAGCCCCAAATGAGTTGTGGAATGAATGAATTAGAAGCCAAAGCACAAGAGTTGCTGGTGCGATGCGCAGAGAATCCAGGCTTGGGAACAATGCGCGGCGCCTTAAAGTCAAAAGCCAAAGGGTTTCTGAAAACCGGCTCCGAGGGAAACTGGGGAATGGGGGTTCTTCTCCAAGTTGCTAAATGTTACTTGGGAGACCATCCACTCCCTGGGGTTATGGGCTCGACCCAGAATGAGATTCATTGCAATCGGCTCCAGACACTTTGACCTAACCTGTAGCCAGACAGGTGAGGAGGGAGGAAGGTTATCAGAGGCCACAGGGGGGATGAATATCACGCGCACACAAAGACATTCATACTGATTAACTCCTCCGCGAGGAATAATAAAAATGCATCCTTTTACTGGCCCACAAAGGTGGGCTGTACATGGTAGGGAAATGAATCTTACAGATCTGCAATAAGCTTGTGTGCATACAGGGATATTTTCTACATAATTAAAAAAATAAACCCGGGATGGTGAGGTAAGTATCTGAGGGGGATAGCCTTCAGGCGAGAGAGAAGGAGAGCCCAGGTGCTCTATGCTCCCTCTGCCCCATATTAATCCAGCAACAGTCTCTGACTTTAGTGACCTGAACCTCACGCAGGGCACCCAAGGCACAGCCCTGGGGTGGGGGGGAGATAAAGAGGGTGGGTCGAGTTATTTTTAGTTCAGAAGCAGTCCTTCTCTGAAAGATTCCCTGGCTGAGACTGAGTATTCGTCAACTCATAATAGTAACAAGGACTGTTACTGATGTTGTGGAGAATAACACAAATAACGCTGCAACCCACACTGTGTCTTGACAATTCAGCTCAAACCAAAGCTGCTCGCAGCCTCTCGGCCCACCCTTCGGCCTCCTCGTCATTCACCCGGACCTACGTTTCTTTTCCCAAGCCTCGCCCCTCTCAGTCCTGAAAGTTGCGTGGTTGTGTTTACAAATTCTGCTACATTTGCAAAGGAAATAGCTGGGGTAGGGGGAAGCGGCCGGGGCCGGGAGGGGTAGTAGCGTAATAAAACACTTGCAGCACGTGGGGCAGTGGTGGTGGTGGTCCAGGAGTCATGAAGGGGGAGGGGAGATGCCCCGTGTCCTCATTTCCCCCCATCCCTCGTCCCCCATCCCTTGGCACAATGCACAAGTTTACCCCCGAACTGGATCCTATTAAATAATTCAATGGTAGCGGTGTAATTTTGGTTGGAACCAGCACGGATTCCCAAGTCGTGACTGCAAAAAGTGAGTAATGCGCGCTGGCTGCGTCATGGCTCTAGTCACAGTTCATTCCGAACTGAGAAGGAATCGTGACTTTGCCTGGAGACGTCCCCTACATGGGAGACGGAGGAGGTGGGGGGGACAAGCCAGGGGAGACGGGGGTGGGGGGGGGGAAGACCTATCCAATGAAAACCGCTGCCAGGGGGGCATTTGAACTCCGCCGCTCTCTGTCTCGCTCTCCCCACTCGTCCCGGTGCACCTCTCTCCCCCCCTCCCGGCCGACGCGCTCTCTGGTGCGCTCGCTCGCTCTCCCGCTACCCGACGAGTCCTCAACAAGTTGGAGGAAGGCAGGAACGCAGGGGTTAAGCTCGGAAAGCAGCAATTACCAAGATCGTGACCCTCCCACACAGTACAGTAACTTATATACTTACCTGGAAGAGCCTGCTTTGCCGCTGGGCAAACACCCGTGGGGGGCGGGGAGGGGCGGGAGGGGAGCGGGCCGGTCAGAAAGGGACTCCTTCAAGCTGGCTGCAGTGCGGACGGGACCAGCGCGCTCTCGGAGCCTGCGGACCGAGGTAAGGAGGAAGGGGTTGGTACACTGGTCGGCCGGTGGTCTGTAGGTTCACTGATCCGCTGAGCAGAACTTTTTTTTCCCAGTTGCCCCGCGCCGCAGTGGCGGCGGGCGCAGACTGTGGAGCCCCCTCTGGCGCGGCGGGCGCGCCGACGCTCGGGGTGTGTGTGCGTGTGTCGGTCGGTCGCCTAGCCGAGGGGATGCCGTGGGAGGGTGGGTGGGTCGCAGAGCTGCCGAGGGTGATGGATGGGCGGAGGGGGTGGGTCGACAGGGACTTGGAGACGGTGACTACTTCGTCTAGATACGTTTATTCCCGGCTTGCTGAGCAAGAGTGTGTGTGCGCCCGCGCCCGCCCGCACGTCGATTCCAGGGTGGCAGAGAACAAATATGGCAACTTTCTTGCAATGTTTGCAGCATCCCACCCTGGCTGAGTTTTTCCCCGCTGGGGGACTACTGTTGGGGAGGGAGTTGATCTGAACATTCCTTTGCCCACACCCTTCTTGGATACTGGGCGGGTGGGGGGGGGGGCAGAGCATTTATGGGAAGGGTGGCGCTGCACTGGGAGGAAAGAGGGCAACCCCTCAAAGTTTGGATGGATGGGATGGCAGAGGGGGCCTAGAGGGAGACAGGGGAGAGGGAAGGAGGGAGAACGAAAGAAAGAGATCACCCCCCTCCTTCCACCCTAGTCTCCCTTCCCCTCCCCTGTCTTTCCTCCTGCAGATGCTGGAATCTCCCGTCGTTGCGGGAGCCGGCGATCAGTGAGGGGCTCATCCCTTGTTGTTCCCCTCAACCTTCTGCAGAATGGGGAGAAGGGGGGCTGCAGCAACAAAAGGGCACCTGAGGCGAGTGGGCCATTAGACACCCAATATCTAAACGGGTTTGGGGAAGGGTGCAGAGGGAGGAGCTTCACCATTTCTCTTGAGGATTCAGAACTTTTTTTTTTTTTTTGAGGGGGGAGATTGAGACATTCTCATTTTTCTAGAAATAGGTTGACTAGCGTGGAGTTTGGGTTTATTTTATGTTCATCTTTGCCTGTCGTTTTCCGTCTGAATCTTCTGGCTTGGGTCCCGTTGGGAGAGGTCTGTCTCTCTTGAACCCTCCCTTGCTCAATATCCTGCACCTCTCCCCTCACTTGGGTTGGAATGGGGGTAGGGGTCTTGGCCAGCTTTTTTGCAACAACAAGATTTTAACGTGTTCCAGTCTGGGTTTTGTTGAATAATTAGAAATGGAAATATTTTTTTCCTCCCTCCCCCTTCTGAAAAAAAAAAAAAAAAAAAGGGAAATGTGAGCTCTTTCCTGATTGGTGGGTGACGATTTTAGTCCGCACCAATGAGCTGGCGGCCTCGTCTGTATTTATTTAGTGCTCTGGGGGAGTTTTTCTCTTTACGCAGCGCCTGTAGTCACGGTTGGAACCTCGGTTGGGGGACTAGAAGGGACAAGAGCGGGTTCAGGGGAAATCCGAACTATACCTGTTCAGAGATCCGCGACCTTGCAGCCGGGGCTGGCGGAACCCTGAGAGGGGAACGTGGGTGATAGGCTAGATAGGCGGGGAGGCTCGGGGTGCTGGGTCTACGGAAGAGGGGTGGAGGCTGGGCGCCGGGATCCCTGGTTCCCCTCCGCGCTCCTCTTCTCGCCCTCCACACACCTCGCTCGCGTCTGTGCGGGCTGAGTTGGGGGGTCGCGGACGGTGTGGAGAAACGCAAGGATGGGTCGGGGGGCGCAGGGAGGGGCGGCAGAGGGGCGGGCGGCGCGCGGGGTGGGAAGGCTGAGCTGCGATGGAGCGCGCTGGGGAGACCCAGCGGGCTCGGCCCCGGGGTTCGGAGACATCCTGGGCTGAAGGCGGCGGCGGCGGCGGCGGCGGACTGAAGAAGCCAGCAGATTCTGCCCTTCGCGAATCTTTTTGCGGTCTGGGCTTGCTGTACATAACTCAATAGCCGGAAGCCCTTACCCCAAAAAGCATTCGCGGAGAGCGCGCTCGTCGAGAAGACCGCAACCAGCAGCGATAGTCGAAGGCCGCACCTTCCCGAAGCGGCTCGGTCCGAGCTTTTCCCAGCCCTTGCCCCGTTTTCCACGGAAGAAACAAACCTTTCCCTCCCGTCCTTCCCGCGCTCCCTGAGGCATTGGTCCCCCGCCTGTCCTCCGCGCGGGTCCCCCGCCCCCAACTTTTAAATCGACTTTGTATTACAGGGGGAATTGGAGCGAGCGGTGTGCGTGTGTTTTCGGAGAAGTGGAAAAAAGCTAAAATACAATAAAAGTTTACAGAAGTTATGTCTTACCCCACACCCCGAATAACCCCATTCACCCACTGCAAAAAAAAGGGGGGGGGATCCGTTCTTAAGGCCAAGTCAGTACCTGGAATATGAATCAGTTTAGGACACGTTCTGGTCATTTTTGACCCTAAGGATCCAACTCTGCAATATAGGGGTGGGGAAGCCCTTGAGGGAGGGGCGGGAGGCCCTCAGCATCCTCTGTCCTAGCGTGGGGGACCCAGAGGTGAGACGAGCCCCTGTGAACTGGGTAGCTCCGAAAAAGAGGGAAAACACCCTGGCACCGCCCGCTCCCCGGAGTCTCTTCTTCCCCCCGCACCTGCTTCCAACCTAATTTGGGGTGTTTTGCAGCCTCAGGTCTCTCCCATCTCATCTTTTTTCAAAACTAAGTAGCACGGAAGGGGGGAAAACAGGCAAAAGCTGGGGGAACCCCCGCAGAGAAGGAGCTTTTGAGAGATGTGGTTGTACCCGACTGAGCAGCTTAGCTGCAGCAGCAGCCCTGTCTTGGCCCCTCCAGGCGCCCCGTCCTGGGGAGGGAGGCAAGGCTGCAGGGTTGAGGATCGTCTGTGGGTCCCCCTCCTCCCCTTGCTGTCGTTATCACTTCGGTTACAAGTGGCACAAATCAGGCCTTCACTATGCTTTGCGCCCCGCGTCCTTCGCCAGCTAGAAACTGTGCTAGACGCCCTTAGGGACTGGACCAGAAGGACACACAGACACACACAGGCGCCCACAGGGATGAACACGGATAGGGGATGAGTCTAGGGATGTGAGAGCCTAAGACCCGAGGGCCGCGAAGCTTCCCATTTTCGGGGAGGGCCTTGAATTCCCCCCCGCACCCCAACCACCGTTCTTCCAGCAAACTAAATGCCCACCGTCATTCCTCTCTCAGTTAGCCAAGCACCCAGACTCTATCTAGTCTGCCGAAAAAGGAAAGTGCTGCGGAGTCCGAGAGTGCTGGACAGAGTCAATTTTTTATAGCTCAGCCTGCGGGAAGGCACAGAGAAAGCACCGAGGGCGAGGACTCCAACCTCTAAGGCTAAGTCAGAGTCCCTCTCCCCAGATAAAGGAGCTTTTCCCTCCCTGATTGCGTTTTCTGAGAGAGTAAAAGGGTCCCTAAGATCTGCAAAGGAGATGGAGCAAAAGCAAAAACCCTGGGGGGGGGGGGTCCTCCCTGCCTCTCATCTGGGGCCGTCTGTGGAGCGATAGCTCCCGCCGAGGGAGAAGCGTAAGAGCCACGTTAGGCTAAAAATAGCTTCACCCTGTGTCCCTTCGGCTCCTCTTTGGTCTTTTGCTTCTGACATCCCCCACCTCCCCCAGCCTGAAAGCCCTCCTCACCCCAAAAGCCTGAACCTCCACCAGATTTGGGAGAGAGGTGACCTAAGAGAAGTGAACTTGCACAGAAGAGGTTGAGCCACCCGAGCTCAGGCTGTTCGGGGTTACCTCGTCCCCAGTCCCCTCACTTCTCCCACAGAGGCCAGGTTTGGGGCAGGGGCTCCAGAGCCCGGAGCACCCGCCGAAGCCAGCGTCGTGCGCGCCAGAGCGAGTCCTTGGCTCGCCTCGCCTCAGCCAGACAACTGTTGCTGCCTTTAGGCAGCTGCTGCCTGCTGCAGCCCAGCTGCCCAGCGCCTGCACGCCGGGCCAGGGCTGCTCACTGTGATCCGGGCCGGGCGTGGGGGGCTTGCGGAGAGGGGTGTCTCCATCCGGGTGGGAGCAGAGGGAAGGACCCCCTCCCCGTTGCCTTCACAATCAGTGAAAATCTGTGGCTTTTTGTGCCTCTTTCCTTCCTCTTCAAAACAGTTGCGTCAGCCCGAGGCCAGTGGGAGCTGATCTCCCCCTTTCTCCCCTCTTTGCCTTTGCGGAGGAAGGAGGGCAAGGGGGGGTAATCTCTTAGAACCTTCAGACTGCTAATGCACACCCCTCTTGAAAAAAGCCACGTCACCTCAGAAGCCAGGGGCCTGATGGAAACTTCCAGGCACTTGCATCTGATGTCAACCTCTGGAGTCCTATAGAGAAGGGGGTAGGGGGTGACAGCTGGAGACCCTTCCTCACCCAGTCTGCTTCTCCCTGGGGAGTGGGAAGTGTCCGAGAAACCCCTGGGGAAACTTGGCTCCTCGTTCGCAGTCAACTAGCTTAGTCTTTGACTGTGTTAGAGAATCAAGACGAGAGGTTGTCTCTGGAGTTAAGGAAGGAGTGAAGACACCTCAGAGATTCACCCCCTTCACCCTGGCCATCTGCCCCCTAGTGGCTGGGTCAGGCTAAGGGGTTCTGCCGGCAGCCACCGTCAGGCCCCCTTTTGGTTGCTCTGCACCTGCACTTCTCCCCCTCTGCCTCTCCTCCCCACCCGTGGCTAGAACCTGGTTTTCTCCCTTTGGCCCCTTTGCCTCATCTGTCCTCTTTTCAAGACCTGGGGTTGCTTTGAGTCTTTCTGCCTTATCTGCCTTAGGTCGGAAGCAAAGGAAAGGATTGTGATTGAGTCAAAAGTACTGAGCACACTTGCTGCAATCTCAGACCAGACCCTCTTCTTTGTCCCAGAGACTTCCCAGACTGGGGGTAAGGTGAGGGAACTTTGTAGGCATCTCTGAAAAGCTCTCCTGTGGCATCAGCATCCCTGCTTTGTAGCTCTTGGCCCCTGATGTGCCCCTCTGCCCTTTTCCCTTCTTTCAGCCAACCCACTCCTTGATTTCCTATGAAATGTCCCTGCCCCCAGTCTCTCCCATTCTCCTCCTGAGCCAGCAGAGTAACCCTACCCATTTTTTGCCTTTTCAGGTAGTCAGACCTGTCCTGACAGCCGGAGGCCTACGTGAGGGGTGGCCACGGAAGGAGGGGGTCTCAGAGGCCACAGGAACTGAAGAATCTGAACACATGAGCTCCGGAGTCCCCGGTGAGTGCAAAGATACCTCAGCCCATGGCCCCTTGGCCTGGGCACAACCAAGGAGACTCTACACACACTCTGCACTTGGTGATGCGGCACAGGGAAATCAGGGATCTGGTGCTTGGGGACTGTCCTCAGTCGCTTAATCTTTGGCAAGGAAAGGCACCCATCATAGACGTCATTAAGAAAGACACAGTGTTCGCCGAGGCAGGCCCCCTTCCCGTTTTGTCCCCTGGCAGGGCTTGGGCCTGGGTGTGTGGAGGCCCCCAGAACTGAGGGGTGCAGGCCTTCCTCAGTGGGGCACAGGATTCCCTCTCCACCCCCCACTTCCTGGGCTATTTCAGGCCTCTGGGGGGGGGGGCCCAGGGAGGTGCAGAGTGGAAAGGTTATTTGCTGAGCTCCGTTTCTCTGAGGAAATTGAAATGTTGCCTTATTTCTCCTTGACTAAAGTTCAGCGTAGGACAGGTAGGAAAAGTTTTAGGTCATTGATTTTTTTTTTAATGTAAGGCATTAAACTCTAAATACATTTACTTTTCCTATTAACCAGCAAAATCTTCTGCTACAGAGCTTTTGTTTAGCTGCTTTTCTGAGCTTCAGAGTCATACTGTGAATTCTTATTGGGGAATTCAGTTCAGAGCTTGGCAGAGAATTTTGAAAGGCCAGGGCCGTTAGATTTGGAAGGAGGGGAGAAAGCGAGCTACCTGGCTAATCCTTGGATGTTATGTGAGCAAAATGTGGGAAACTGCCAGAAATCTTAGAGGGAAACTTGAGGCTCATGGCAAAACAGAAGCACATTTCACAGAAGACCTTCAGATCATTATGCGACAGACCTGTTTGCTGTATGAATTAAATGACTGCTACATGAGTTTTTTGAACTGTTTACATTTTGAAAGTGGAACTCAAATAAATTGACTGGAATCCTCCGTAATCCTACCCTGTAAAGTGAGGGCAAGGTCTTCAAATCATTTGCTGACCCTAACTTCCTTTAAATTCCCCTTTTTAATATAAGGATCTGAAGTTTACAGCAGGTGTCTTTGCACAATAGGGTTGTTGTTCACTCCAAGAGGTTAAAATCTCCCTCTTCCCCCCTTTACCTGATATTTCAGTTGCATTGCAGAGAAATCTAAGAAAATAATACAGGGGTGGGATTTTCTTGCCTGAAGAGTAACCTTTTCTAATCATGTTTGAAAAAAATCTGTCAATAGATTAAACCTCAAACTTAGATATAATATATAGAGTGCAAAAGTTAGAAAGAGCTATAGAGGATATACAGACCAGTTCCTTCATTTATAAATCAAGAAACAGAGGTTCAGAGAGGCTAAGTGATTTTACCAAGGTCACACAGCTGGGGCTCAAACTCAGATTGTTTATTATCTACTTTGGGTTCTTTCTTTTTACTAAATATCTCCTACCATTGCCAAATAATAAGATAATCAATAAACACAATCTAGGGCATTGTAACGGATTCCCTTCCAAAATGACTTGCATTTAGGATGCCAGGGTTCAAAGAAGAGTTTACTGAAAGTTTCTTCTGCTGGCCATTAGCATTCTGGAGGCATCCCTAGGTTAGGCACGGCTCTCCTCTCTCTCTCTCTCTTCTGACATGGCCTGGACTTCAGAGCCTCCATGTTGGCCTCCGTCTGCTAAGAAAGTCATCAGCACAAGAAATTTGCTGTGTCATAGAATTCAAGTTATTGGTCTCTTTCAGAAGCTGTCCCAGCAGAAAACAGCTCCATGAGACCTAGGCCCCTCTCCCTTATTTCTCTTCTCTGAGTGGCATTTGAATCTCGTCCTTCTTGCCTGCTGGGCTTGATTTTGAGCTGTTAGGAGGGTAGTAAGGTCTGATTTGAATTCTCCCAGGATCTCCTAATCACTTAAGTAAGGAAGACCCTCAAAAGGAACTTTCAAACCAAGCAGGGGATTCTTTGATCCCTGTTCCTCAGACATCTTTTAAAATGCTGCAGATCATCTTCTTGTCAGACAGCTGCTTGGCCTGGCCAGTTTTAAGCTTAAGATTTCCTGCCAGCCCCCAGATCTAACTCCACTATTTCAGCTTTGCATATTTCCATCAATGATAGCGATTTTGATGCCGTAGTAGTGACCATGTCCCCAGCACATAGAATAATAGCCATGCTGTGAGTGCCATCATAGATACATCATTCTGGTGGCCTTTTGCATAGACTCTCCCCACTGTTTGCCCCCCACCCCATCTCCCCTTTTGGGACAGTTTTTAAGTAGGAAATGAGATGCATTTCTTTGCTTAAAAAACAATGGTTGGGAGGAAGAAAAATGAAATGCAGTGAAAGATACAACTAGGTTAAAAAGCAAAACAACAGGACTGTCTAGCAGTAGAAAGAGCTGAAAGAGCTCATTCGGTCTGGTCCTGACTACTTAGGTTCATGACCTTACAGAAAAACAATTACGTCCTTTCTAGGCCTTAATTTCTCCATCTATAAAATTAGATGCTTTAGAGCTCAGACCCCTCATCCATTCATTTATTCAACAAATATCTACTGAGTTCCTACTATGTATCAGGCCTTTTTCTAGGCATCGGAGATATTTATAAATAAGTTATTCTCCCTCTGATAACCCAATGAAGCTAGGAACTCCTTCCCAGAAAAACAAAACAAGAGTAGAAAAGGAAAACAAAAATAACACATATTTTACACATAATCTCAGGGGGTTCGTGACCTCCCTAAGCTCCATGAACCCCAAATTAAAATTTGTTTGTCTAGTTAGTCTCTGAGGCCTACATTTCACCATACGAAGATTTGAGACTTATCCTTTTCCAAACAGACTAGTCCTTTTGCATCACCTTTTCCAAAAAGACTGGTCCCTTTGCATCACCAGAGCTTGATTTTCAGGTGCTTCTTATTTTTTTTTCTTAGTAGCACTCTGTTGCATTCTTGTCATGATTTTTGGCCCCCCTGTGTTGGAAAACAAATATCTGAAACTTATTTAATACTGCAAACGGCTAGATAAATGTTGAATAGAAAAACGAGTGGGGCGCCTGGGTGACTCAGTCGTTAAGCATCTGCCTTTGGCTCAGGTCATGATCCCGGGGTCCTGGGATCGAGCCCCATGTCAGGCTCCCTGCTCCGCGGGAAGCCTGCTTCTCCCTCTCCCACTCCCCCTGCTTGTGTTCCTGCTCTCGCTGTGTCTCTCTCTCTGTCAAATAAATAAATAAAATCTTAAAAAAAAAAAAAAGAAAAGAAAAATGAGTAACCAAACGGCAAGGCAGGCATGGAGCCGAAGGACAGAAGCAGACAAGAAGTTTCATGACCCAACCTAGCCTGGACCTGTAGAATTTCCAAGAGACAATCCATCTTTTAGGCTAAGTCTCCTCGGCAGAGTCTGGCAAGCCAATGGAGGGAAGAGAGGTTTGCATTGAAGCTAGGCAGTGTAAAGTCTGAATGTCAAAGGTGGATTTCTTCTGGTGCTTTTGACTACCAGGGAACATCACAGCTAGACAGCACAGGGATACCTTGAGAAGGAAAGGAACAGTCTGTTGTAGGTTAGTAGACTGGCTTCCATATCGCACAGCAAGGGCATTTATCACAGGCAGTTCTACTGAGGTCTTGGATGAGGGAGAAATTAGGAGTCTCTAAGGCTGAAAATGGACATGGCGAGGTCAGTGTGCAAAGGTTTCATCCTAGTGCTGTGTTTCAGAGGCTCTCCCTTGCTGTCTTCGGGGCCCTCAGAATTCCTCCTCACCATGAGGAAGGCCTTGGTTTTTTTCATTTAGGGCAAAGGGTGTTTACTGACTGTAATTCTGATCAGAAGCTGATGCAAACCTTACTTTCAGGGAGACGTAGATGCTCTTACTCAGCATGCTGGAGGCTCAGGGCCAGTGCAAGCCACTGCCTGGATTCGGGTCTGACCTTGTAAAGACTTCGAGGTAGACCGTGGGAGGACAGGGTGAAGTGTGTGAATTTCCACTTGAGCAAGAGAGCAGCAGGTCGCTGCGGCTGAGGCTAATGTATAGAAAAATCCATTTACATGCAAACCAATCCTTTTCAGTTTTTCAATTTCCTCATCTGTAAAATGGGGATAGTAATAGCAACTCTAAAGTTCTGGTGAGGATTAAAAGAGATTATGCATGGCAAGTGCTTCGTACCTGCTCAGTACTCAGTAAATGTTAGCTGTTCTTACTGTTGCTGTTATTGTTTTATTATCATTATTATTAATATTATTATCATAGGGTTTTTTTCTGTTTGACACATATAGCAAAGGCATATAAGGCTTAGACCCTAGAGTCAGCCGTCATAGAGACAGAGTGATTCCCTGAGTGACAGATAAAAGATAATCTTTTCCGGAAGCATCTGTCCATTTGCCCCACAGCCTGCCAGTGCCCAGGATTACCTGGCTGGGAGCAAATCAGAAGGGCTGATAGGAAAATCTTTTTCTCTACTTTATACATCCCTACACAAAGATTATCTCTTTGTGGTTTCATTCCCCTTTAATTCCTTGCTTTCAAGTTCTTTAAAAAAATCTATTGAATTTAATCACAATTGTTTTTGCAAATCATTCTTTTTATATTTCTTTTTCTTTCTTTCTTCTTCTTCTTCTTTTTTTTAACTTTCTGATCAGGGAGAATAAGCAATTCAGCTAGGATGCTCGCCGTTCACCTTTTACTTTCAGCCTCTATCCAGTCCTAAATTTTCAGGACTTAGGTGATCCTCACCAAGGAAATAGTAAAGGAGAAACAGAAGGGTAGGACTGGGTGGCACCACTTGCTGTCATAAATCGTGTTTTCCCTTTCCTTTTCACACGTATTTTATCTTCGTTCTTTTCTTCTTCCTGCTTCACTTTTCATGGTCTTAGAAATCTTTTTGTCTCTTCTTATCCCCTGAAAAAAAAAGATCTTTGCTTTCCTCCTTGCCATCCACTTAACGTCCCGTCAGGCATTTCTTTTAAGTCTTGGCTGCAAACTGCAGGGGTGATTATAGGAAGAATATGATGTAGTCTCTACATTTCTGGATAACACTAGAAAAAAAGGGCCAAGGCTC